CCCTATTTGATTGCCCATGCCCACTATGATATCTGAACTAGCAGCACTGCGTAGCAGCGCGTTCAGTTTACGTTACAATGTGTACTTGGCAACTTCAGAACTGCAGTCGGGAATCAAAAATAGCCTTTTGTACTAAATCGTGAAACAGTCTTAGTTGATGTCGTCGAACTGGCTGCACACATACGGCTGTTCACCGGTATCCAATAAACCAACGATGGGCGTCGGGAAGAGAGTTGGAGAAACAGGTGGAAAAGAAAGAAGGTAGGCGCCATCAATAGCACATTTTCGATTATCCATCCTGCTGTATGCAGCAGATAGGGCGACACTCGCTAACCTGCGAGAAGGCCGATGAATGATGAAGTTTATGTTTATAGAAAAAATCATGGTTGTAGGCTGAGATACTGCCAGATTACCCAGACCTAGACAGAAAGACAATTAGGGTCCTCATCCAAAGCCTTTGGTGCAAAAACCTGTCCGCAAGATAGCCGAGAGGTGGCAATGATTTCGTTTTACAGAAATGGATAACATCCCATTTCGAACCACAAACCCGGAGGACCAGGAGACTGAGTTTGTCTGACCTCTCACCATTGACCAACCTGGTAGGAGCGGCTCACAAGATGCCCGGAGGCATCACCTAGTATAGCTCAATGGGTCAGTGAGATACGCAAACCGTCGCACCACGTTAAGGTCCAGTCTTGTTGAGACCGTCTATCTCAATTACTGCAACTTGGAACTTTTACCCAAGCTATAATACATCCACAGTAGTAGTATACTCCTAAAAGGTTTTCCAAAATAGCATGAAGTGACTTGGAATCAAGCGAACTGTTCAATGATCGTTTAATTTCACTAGGCAGTGATAACAATATCGACTTTTTTTCCCCTAATGGTAACGTACTTTATATGAACCAATCGAATTATAAACTCGGCTGTGTTGATTGGACTAATAAGTGCCACAGCAATCAACATCTGCAGGTGAGGCAGTTGAAATTGCTATAGGTGAAAACGATGCGCGAAATCGGTTCCCAGGAAATGGTGGTGACAACACGTATGCATTTGTAGAACATCGCCCACATCTGGCACAGCGCCATTGAATAGTTTGGTTGTAGGATTGCATGGTAGCCGTAGACAAACATAGGTAAACATACTGTGACGTAACGCCACCATGAATATGCTAGATTGATGGCACAAATCCGTGGAAAGAGATGGCAGTAATATCAGGGTTTCTTTATCTACTATCCCATTCGACAGGTGTTATCGATGACACTACGAGCGTGGGCATGAAAAAAATTCACCGAAGTTGGTCTTTTCATGTCAGCTGGTAATCAGGGCTGGACATACATGCAAAATACGCAAACATGTTGCAAATTGTATGAATGCCGAAACTGTATGCGTTCAATGGGAATCGACCTGATTCAGTTCTATTGGAAGCAGTGTGCCGCTTGTTGCAAAGTGCTTGGTGATTGGGATGAGTAGAGTTTAATTAAATATAATACTACGGAACACTGATGTTCAATACTGCGGTAGCTAAGCAAAGTAGTAGATAAAGTAAGTACCTTAACCAAATATATGTCGTAGAATATGTGGTAGCGCCGGCTGTCTATAATTTTGTAAAGTTTCATTGTTCATTATAGGGAAAAAAGCACCACGCATCTAATTAATTCTAGCGTGTACTAAGCAATGATCTGTGCAACCCAGTTAAAATGTGCTGAAACGCTTCACCCAACACAAAAACACAAACGGCCACTGTTTGTGTACTATCAATGGAATTAATGCAATCAGAAACAGGTTTTTGGGATGCTTCAAAGTATTCAGAACACGGAAAAGTTGAGTTAGCCAACTAAGATTATATTACCAGAAAGAAAATGAAGATGGTCATTTCGGCGAATAAAATAATAACTAATCGGCTTTCGACATTTCAACTTTGGGACCTAGTCAAGAAAGACAGTAAATTATAAGTTCCGGTTAGCATCCGATAAATATCCTTGGTTGTCTGATTAGTATACAACTAGAAAATCCATCCGCCAACTCACAAGACGCCTTTGGAATATCTAGTAATACCACGCAACGCCTGTCTACTATAGATCCGAAGTAGTATATAATGAGCAGATCAACTCCTTGGTTTGATCAACTTGATCAAAAGTCTAACGGCAGAATTAACTGATGTACGACCGTCTTCAGTTCAGAAGTGGGCGGTCCATGCCTTGTATTCACATGGCACAATAATGGAAGGTGGAGAAACGAATACGAGTGCTTGGACTCCTTTTACTCCTTCAAAAATGTTTCCACATGAACAGGTTTAATTAGCAGCACATTATTACGATTAACGTCCTCCCCATCTACCCATCTTAATTTGAAGAACTAGCGATAAAACTACTTAGAGTGAGCCAACAAGCGTGCATCATTTGCAACTCAAAAGAAGAAATTTCGCTTCTACTTAGAATCCTGTTCTGTCAGAGTGAGTATGGAAGCAGTCTACCTAAAACGAAAGCCCATGGATCCATCTTAGGCAATTTTGATGAATGAATTGGTGCATAGACATTGAATAATTCACACATAGTGTAAAGCGCTTGCTTTGATGTAAACAATGAGCTGGGATATTGCTTTAAAGTTAGCTGTATACAATAGGAATCAGCAGCGGATAGGTAGCAGCACATGTTGTCCATCAGTTATCGTGAGTCGCGTAGTGATACTGGGTAAGCCGAAATCAGTCAATTTTAGGTCCGTATGGGTGAATGATAATCGAGGTATAAAGATTACCTAATGGAAAACGATAACTTCCGGTATTCGAAATGATTTGAAACACTAGTAGGCCGGGTTGACTGCTCAACTGTTGATCGGTTTTCCGGGCTTGATCAGATGATTGCATAAATTTTGACACCATGCGTGGTGGCGTCGTCAGTGTGGTGATGTGCAGTGTACAATCCTTCTCCTAGCATTGTAAAATGGAGCAAACGGAGCTACTAGCTCAAGCAGCGACGCAGAAAGGAAGAGAATTCCTATAGGCTTTGTCCTCCTACAATCATTGGCTCAACTTGCGCATTGACACCTAACCCGTGTACCAAGAGCTCAGAAAGAAAGATCTCCGGCGAATAGAAAGAAAGTGTTCAAATGCGAAAGCGGATGGGTAGAGCTCACGCGGCGCAAATAGAAATAGGCACTTTCAACAGTCACCTGCCCATTGATCACGGACGGACGATTCAATAAACAGTATTGTACACTACACATTCCCACAATGAAGATGCCACCGCCCATGGTGGGAAAACGTATGCAAGCATTTGATCAAGTTCGGCGAGCTGATCAAAGAGTGAATAACTTGGACATGCCTGACAGGGATAGAAATAACCGGACTTAGTAGAGTTGATTAGGACAAAGATAACTTGCTAGTCCAGGGACTACAGTATGACCTTGATTGTAGGTTGCCACTCAGTGGATAGTAAGCTTGGGATAACAACGTCCGCATGATGGTGGGAGTAACTCTGAACGCAGCGAATTCCGTCGGCTTAAGTGCTAGTGTCCAACCATTGCATCCAGCGCATGCGGATAGTTTGGAAAAACTGGAGCACAAATACCGCTTAGATGGCTTGAACAAGGGGTTTTCGGCTTCGCTAAAAAAGGACAACTGATATGCGCTAGTGAGGAAATTCTGCAAATGCACCATAAATGTCAAACTTGGTGCAGTAAATATGTATCAGGTTTGCACCCCACCAATGGGCAATGGTGAAACTGAGCCACCAAGCTCTGCTCAACTTTGGCAGCAATAACACTCGCCGCAGCTGATCTATGATGGAGCCGTGGAAAGTACTTGCAGGATGGGTTCGCGCAGCGAGACTAAGTATCGAGACAATATTGGAAGAAAAGTGGTGTTCTGAAGAGAATCTCCTTAGGCCTTCAAACCAAAAAAGCCGAGAATAAATTTGTTGCTTACTTACATAGACTGTTTCACTCACGATGGCCTTCATGTATTTAGACGTCAGAAGAGTTACAACATTAGCCTATTATCCCTACTTATTGCTGAAATTCTTCCATTTAATGGCCAATAGTAACCAGCTCCCCACATAGCCATTGCCATACTCCCGGTCTGATAACGTGTAAGCAGTCCACTGACACCAACAATAGACCTAAAAATATTAATTTAGCTATTCTACGATGGTCAGGATTTTGCTTTATTTTGACAATAGATTTGGCAAAAATGACCTCACGTAGAATGTGTATTTGACAAGATATTTTAAGAAATGATGCCGTGGCCAACTGCATTTAGTTTCTGGTTATAAATACTGTTGACATTTTGAACTAGAACGTCATATTTGAGTCGGCTAACTGATCTATTCTAAAAGAATACCAAGCAGAATTGATTCAATGCAGCTTCGCTAGTGTGAAAGTAACAAACCATATACTTAGATTCATAGAGAAGGTAATTGTGTAATATGCAGCACTGAAAACACCGTTCATTAGGTACATATAAAACAGACCCTGTTGCCATTCATCTATGGTCCGGAGACAGATCGCATGTCAGCACAATGTGTGTCAAATCAGATTGAGTGTTACTAGACGACCGATTCAACGGTAGGTGGCGATGTGGAAATTACCGGTGGAAATTCATACCATAGTTTATATGGTTCATTGGGTTTCCGTTCACGTCACAGTTGACATGATATAGTTTTATTTGGTCAAAGACGAATAGGAATCTTGAGGGGAAAAGGAAGATGAGAAGGACAGGGTCGCGAGCAGTTACACATCCCACAAGACGGTAGATTAACAACATAGAAATCAACGAGAAATATCAGCGGTTCAACCAAGCGTTTGGTAAAGATTGAGTTTCACTTTAATTAAGTGGTTTGAGAGAAGTATGTTAAGGCTTTAACCTATCCTATACTAAGTTTGAAAGTGAATGACCAAAAATAGGTAAACTTGGAAAATATCATTGAATACGCCGTCACTATCAAAGAGATCAATCAGCTATCTGTATATTGGTGAAACTGTTCTCTATCGGTTACACTTACCACAACCTCAGCGGATAGAGGTAATCTGCTGCGCCAAAACTGGATAGACTGCACGAGATCTCCTGAATACAATTGGTGGTCGCCGGATGCTGGTAATTGGAGAGAAAACGTATTACTAACTATGGAAGAGTAGTTAAGTATATTCGCCAAACATAAAAGGATGAGCAAAGCGCTTCTTTCCGCAGGCCCGAAGCACCTAGGTAGCGACAGTAAACGTTTGGTGCCGTCTTTCCAATGGTCAAGTGTTCATAAATTACCGTGTGATCTGCAGGCTGGGGATTGCATTTGACAACACAATTTATTATTAACTAGTATAGCATTCATATATTACCAGGAGCTTGAAATCAAAAACTGGTGACCAAGCCATAAAGTACACTCATGCTTGGAACCAAAATGACACGGTATATGAATTATTCTGCTGTAACAAATTCAAGCACAGAATTTTCAAGTGAAATCTGAGAAATTGAAAATTTAACTATCAGCGATACGATGTGAAAACTGCTTAGGCAGGGCGTTAGTATGTAACTAACAATGCAGTCTGAGTATGGTGGAAATTCAAACTCCGACTATTTGCAACTAGACAAAGGAAAGTCTGACAGTCTGAGCTCCCCATGTTTTGCATATAAATTCAGACAGGAGTGTCCCAAGCTCGAGTCAATATGAAAGTTTGGAGCACACTATGTCTTATCACCTTAAGCTGCCATCTGACGGAAACCTGACGCATTTGGATTAAAGCTGAATCAGGTCAGTTTTAGTGCGTGTACCGCAATCAGTTATTGTAAATGTTTACAGGTAGGCTTATTACTCCGAAAACAGTTCGCCGTTCATTTCCTGCTTGAACACGGGACGAACCATTTACCTTAGATCTTGTGTTCACTAACTAGGAACTAATGCTTGATGCAGGAAGCATAAGTATACCGGTTGTCCGTTGTGGTCACTCAACGCTGAGATTCCGCTACATCTGATACGCAGAGTACAACTGTGAAAACAGTAAGGAAGTTCACATCGTCACTAACAACGATTCAATCTCTGACCTTGTTCAATAACATAACCGATCTTTCCTAACTGAGCAGCCTCCCGATGTAGCCTAGGAGGCATTTGTCACGTTGTTCAGCGGACTAGTGGCAATCGCGTCTGTAAGCAGTCTTTCTGCCAAAGCATATGAAGTCTTTCCAAAGGAGCTAAACACGAACGTGCATAGCGCTAAGAGATTCGGCATGGCGCTCTTATAAAGCCTGCCTGGATGCGCAGGCATGGGATGCCTGGATGTCACAGTGAAAGCACCGCGTCAAATTAGTCCGCGAAAACAAGCTTAAACAGACAAAATGCACTACTAATCTTGTGATATTCTACGGGCACGTAAACAAGCGGTGCGGTGCGAGATTCCGGCTCTGAGTGCAGTAGATAGTCTGATGCTTAGTACCAGATGTGGCGAACGGGCTTCGACAACAGTTAACCAGCGCTTTTCAAAGCGAATCGTCACCTCACTTGTTCACGATACAGCTCTCTCCTCCTTCATGATTAAACCACGTATCAATCGCCGCTGCAAAAGCAATGAAAAGGCTATTGTCCTACCGCGTGCACAGCTCTCATGATGTGGACAATATCAAACCAAAGGCGTTAAAAACAGTAGCCATGAACGTTGCCGAAACTTAAGCCTGCTTCCAACGTAGCCTTGAGGAAATGCAGGTTCCCATCATGTAGAGCTATGGAATAGTTACTTAAATTTTCAAGAGTATAAATCGGGTGGAACTTTCCTACTCCCGTCCAATCACCCTACTCGCAATGTTCTTCAAACTTATGGAAGCAATTATTGCACAGGTCCTCATGGGATACCACGATAATAAAATCATAGTGTCACAGCAGCACGGATACTGCAGTAATCTGCCCTACATCGCCAAATGGTTGTTAGCCGGAGCAAGCTTGACGAAGTCAGCCAATGAACAATGTCAGAAATCAGTTCAGAGTGAAGAGTTCTTTTCGGTAAACTCTCATCGGACCCAAACGTTTACAGAACACTGATAGTGAACTTGTGCTCATGTGGTGCATGATACGTGGGTCGCACGACAAGACGCCTATCTCAGAGGATTCGTGAACACATCCCGGCATGGTTTTACAAAGGCGAAATGAGGTCTTCAGACAGCTCAATCATGTCGCACCTCCTTGAATGTGGCCACACAGCTTCAGAGAATGACTTCAAAGTCATTTATTCACTACCTGAACACTACACCCAATGATTCCGCAAACAGCTCTTATCCATCGCCGAGGCTATCTACATTCACCATCTGAAACCGGAATTATGTATACAAAAGCGATTAATACGGCCGATACTACTACCTTGGCCAACGGACACTGTTACTTGGTTATTTGGCTGTTATTTTACCTACTTAATTACTTTAGACTACTGAGCTTTGCATATGCATGTTTATTTAGTTTACTTGGTTTACCATCGCTATCTCTGTCTCAAGTTATCTATTTTGATCATTCAAACAGTCCAGGAGTAAATCCCAGCCCGAGTTGACGTTTACCCCACACTATCAGTGTTTTGTAAACGTTTGGGTCCGATGAGAGTTTACCGAAAAGAATTCTTCACCCTAAACTGATTTCTGATATTGATTCATATTAATGGAATGGGAATCTTTGCATTGCTGTAGACCAGCATTGCCCGTGATTCAATGAGCAATGATTTATCGCGGTAAAAATGCATGTGCCTGACAAGTCCCGCAGGATGGTTGGAGCAAAAACCGAATTTGAAAGGATCATCGAAAACGTAAATCGTCATTCTAAGCGTCTATCGATCTAAATGCACTACTGCATGACGACAGTTTGAAGCGGGAATGGAATGCACACACACAAAATATTCGAGAGAGCTGTTACAGCTCAGTAAATACGTGAGAAAGAAAAAAGAAACGACAACGCTCACTCCTGTGTTGCTTCATTTGACAGATGTGGTACGTTAATCCACTTTAGATACATCCAGACTACACACATGGACACTTCTGCATGTATCCTCACCGCAAGGTTGCGGAGAGGGCCGATAAGCACATGGTTAGGTTTGTGTTATTTCGTCATCCAAGTGGAACGGACTATATCAAGTAATGCAAGTTAAAAAACGTTTCATCAAGGCGTTTTTTGTATAGCGTTAATGTAGAGGCTAGGATAAGGTGGATCGGAAGGGCATTCCAAGCACGCGACACACGGAGGGAGAAAAGGTTTCGTCGACAATCACCACAATCGCACTACAGTCGTAGTGCGTAGCCTGTTTGAACTGATGGACTCTCAGGTTGTTATTTTGGCTTAGCTGCAACAGATTGCGAACTGGATGAGTTGGATTCGTCAGTATTAAGTAAGCCATGTAAGGTCTCCTCCCTTACGTCGATATTCACCACTGTACAATTACAGGGACTGCAGTTTGCGTTGGTAGGAGAGATGAAACAATCCGCTAATCAGTATGATCGCTCTTGGCTGTGAAGCTTCAAGTGCATTGATGTCGCGCTAGCGCTAAGGACGCTAGGCCTGGATCGCATATTCAATGTTAGGCATCACGTAGACGTGCAGCAATTGCGGAAATATTGGTGGATCAAAATTTCAGAAAGCCCTTAGTCCAAGATGTTGACTGGCTATTTTTGATGATATTTCTGCCTTTCTCCAAAAGCCAAGATTGTACTGCACGATCATTCCGAAATCGTTTTCCTTGAAAGTATGCCATCATCAGCATCATCAACAGCAGTACATCAGCCATTTGTATTGATGTTTCGCTACTATATAACCATGAGGACCTAGGAAATAAAGAATAAGAAAATGGAGAGAAGAGGTGCTTACATGAAAACTTGATGCCTTTAGCAAACATTCAGGGTCAAGGTGCCTACACCTTGTGTAGACAACCTACCGTCACAATCAGCTGGCTATCGTGCAAACATAAGGTGGCATCAGCGAGACACAGCTTCATTGCGGCTTTCACGGCCACGCGTAATAATCAGCCATTACCCCGGAGATAACTCAGCACCAAACACACTTTAAACGGGAAAATCCGATTAGGAGAGGTCAGCAGATGGGTCCATCGCTGGACAGCTACAGGAGGACGCCAAGTGGCAATTCGGCGCCCACTGTGTCTGAAAGCAGTGCTACTAAGAAACAACTGGTGCTCCGCACACAGATGCAGCAGACGCTCACCGTTGGCAGGCCGTTCGAAGTTAAGTCCATAATTACCACCCAGCTGAGCTTTTGAAGAGCTCAGCGTCCTACTTGTGCGTTCATATCCCCTGCAAGTACTATCATATCTAAACAAGTTGCACTTCGTAGTAGCGCGTTCAGTTCGTGATAGAATGTGTCCTTGACTGCATTAGAACTGCAGTTGGTGGGAGCATAAGCGGAAATCACAAACAAACAGCGTTTTGTATTACTTCGTGCATCCACCTTAGCTGATGTCGTCAAACGGTCTGCACGTAAACGGCTGTTCACCGGAACCCAGTCAACCAATGATGGCTCCGCCTTGTAGTTTGGAATGATACCTACACCAGCTTGACCCGTGAGTGCTGCATCGGCGTCTCCGGATGCTTTCAACCAATAACGAGAGGATAAGCCGGGTGCAGTCAATTCAATAACCCCATTTGGGTCATTGATCCTAGTTTCGGACACACAACACACATCAATACCCAATGTGTCCAAGGTTCGCGCGAGTGCAGCCTGTTGACCTGTTTGTCTTGTAGTGCGAACGTTGAAAGTCGCCATGGAAACGGGATAGCGTGACCATATAAGGGACTTTTGCCGATAGGCGGCCGATGGGTGCGGTGGGATGGTGGCTGCAGATGGTTCTACTCCAGTGGCACTTCGGTTGCTGTCAATTAAGTAGGGAATTATAGGAGGAAAGTAAGTAATGTGGGTCGAGGTGGGAGTAAGAGAAATAGGTGAAAAAGAAAGAAGGGAGGCGCCAGCAGTAACATGTATTCGCTCATCCGTCCTGCTCTACTCAGCAGATAAGGCGACACGATAATCTGCGCGACGGCCGATGCAGGATGCAGGTTAATGTTCGAATAAAAAGTCATGGTTGTGTGTGGGCTGAGATACTGCCAGGGCGCCCAGACATAGA